CCCCCCCCCCCCCCCCCCCCCCCCCCCCCCCCCCCCCCCCCCCCCAACACACCACCACAATCACAGCCACACACCTACATCCACATCCACACCGATCCCCACACCCATACCCACACTTTTCATTGTAGCAATATGAAAACATGATACTGGAGAATGCTGGGTATCTTTCTGGAAAGTTTAGCACAATCATCTTGAATAAGCGTTTGAGCATTGTTTGTGAAATAAAATCTAGATCTTAAGTTGAAATAGTCTTACTGAACATGCAATACAGTTTTCTGAAGAGTAAAATTATCCATGATAACAAAAATTAGTATACTTGTAGGTGAATATTAGAGTTTAGGAGACAAAAAGAAAAAAGAAAGTAATAAATGTGAGTAAAAAGAAAAGCGTGCAGTATTTTGGTGACAATGAGCAACATCTATTATGCTTGATATTTATCAGGAGCAACATCGATGAATTTATCGGTGATCTTTGGTATTTCGAGATCTTTGAGTTTGTTGAGTGTTGCGTCAGAAACGGTTAAACCCCAGAATCGAAAAAGTGGTACAAGATTCTTCTTCACTTGTTGAGAAAAAATCTCAACCCATAAGTCTATTTTCTCTTGGTCAGAGCTGCAAATTAATAGATGTGTTGTATGCGTGCACTATATCAAAGTTGTAACTCTAAGACTCACTTAACTGTTGGCTTCGCTTTCTCGTACGTGCGAAAGACTGCCTTGAAACTGTCCCAGCCGAACTCACGAGCCAATTGTCCATCTAGACAGAAAAAACGTTTATTTCTAATCTTCATTATTCTCTTTTCCTTGTAGATCACTTACAAATAATCAAGCCGTTGGAATAGACTTTTTTCCACTCTTCGAAAGATAATTTGCCCTCTTTCAAGTACGCTATTCCCTTGTCTGCACACGATGTATTAAATGAAGACAGTGTCCACAACTCTTTTCCGTATACAGTGGTGGTAACGTAGAGAGAGAATATATTGCATGTTATATCTGCTGTACCGCTAAACGCTAAATGATGACAATGAGCTAAGAATCAAATATGCAATATCGGTAATTTTCATTGCTTTTGGTCTGCAATGTAAAATATTTTGTTTGTGTTTTTAGATTCAGCTGGATTCATAGTTAGATACGTTCTTTTCGATATCACTTCGGATATTCAAATGATAGACATGCTCAAAAAAAGCAGTTAAACTTTTGAAAGAAAATATTCTAAACATGTATGCACTTATTCGCTAAAATGCACAAAACTTGATTATTTTGTGAAACAAGATCTGAAAGGAGTGTTGAAGTGTTTACGGGTAGAAATTCGCACCCCCCTCTCCACCCCCACAGACCGTGACAGAGAAACTGTAGTTCAAAAGCATTAGACAAACCGTTAGCTACAAATGTATAGTCAAGAAATGGAACAAAACAATTTCCATTTAACTAGTAAGAATAGATCCATCGTGTTTCATATTTTTAATCCCACAAGGGATTGCGCTAACAGCTTTTTTATGTAGAAATGGTTGATAGTTTTCCTCTTTTATTTAGATAAATACGTTTCCAATGAGCAGCAACTTCAGGCGGTTCGCCTTAATAAGCGATGTACCTTCAGCATGTATTTTAGAAACTTGGAAAAATTTCTCACCAGTCTTTCAGATAATTACACAACGTATACAAATAATAATAATAATGGATAGTTTTTCATGCTGATTTCAAATTACGATTAATTTTTAAACATAAGAGAACAAAAACTTAGCGATTCTTATGTGATTACATGTTCACACAACTGTTTGAAAGTTTACTAATTGAAAAATGCAACACTCGTAAAACCTTTTACGAAGAAAGATGGCTGGACAACTCTTATATAATTCCCTTACACCACGGATCGGCGACTATTCCTGAATTTTCAATCTGATACAAAAAGTGCCTTGGATATTTTTCGTATGTTTTTAAACATATTCTGTGGATTTTCAAAGAAGAAGCAAATTGAAAATTGGTTCTCTTCTCGTAAACCCATGTCAGAGTAATTCGAAATGATAATCTGAAAAAAACGAGGGATGATGTACGAAAATGAGTATCGGAACGTTACAAAAGAGGGCTTTTTTAAAAAGTCAAATTTCTTTCAAAATTGGACTTTTTTCGTCAAATTCCGCACTCCAAGTTGGAATAATCAGTAAGAGTTTCTTTCAAATCAGTTTGTTCATCAGAAGATTTATAAAAAAAGCAGGCTTTGGTAAATAACAGATTTCAGTTACTTTTCAATTATTTTTCATGACTTACTCCACCAATTCTTTTGATGATTATGCCCAAGTTCGTGTGGGATGGCCCAGTCTCCTTCGCCATTATAATTGCTGATAGCTTCTGCGTCAAGAACATACAGAATGTTACGCTCTGTTAACTTGTGATAATCGAGATGACTCATAATAGGATGTCCGGAATCTGTCAAGTGAGCAAGTCAAACATGCATCTATCTGACTACTATGGCAATTTACTCACGTAGATAGCCAAGCGATATTTGCTCATCGGCAACGAACCGTTCGCGGCGTGTCGGTTCTGTGCCGCACAGTTCATGGCAAGCAAGCACAATTTTATCGTAGAGCTCAAGTACGCGATCGAGTGCATCAAGATCCATATCGCGAACTTTCTCCGAGGGCACACTGATGACCATGTGTTTGCTCGCCAAATCAGCCCACAGACCTTTGGCTTGTTTACTCTTCGCATTCCATTTATTCTTTCGATCCGTGTCGCTGAGATCATAAGTAGGTGTGGGAATAACATCTGATAGCTGCACGCTGATCGATGAGGCCTCTTCGCCGGTAGGAGCTACTAGATAGAGGAGACCACCGAATGGTGAGAACATTTTTATGGGCTCATTAACTTGACTCGGCACATGTTTCCAACAGGATATAATTGGCCAACGGCGGTATTCTTCGCATTTTGAGATATCATCCGTATGACAGCCGATTTGAATGTACCATCCACTCTTGCCCGTTTGCTCGATCACTTTGACTTCGAACGGTATGCCAGCTGCTACGTAGTGACCTAGAGAATATTTCATGTCAAGTTAGCTAATCAAAATATCTCTGAAAAAGTTCTCATGACACTCTAACTGTCATCGTTTAGAGCTAGCTGAAATTTTCGAAATTATCATGTAAAGATTTCCGCCACTTCACTCCATTCTTATTAGTTAATTATTCTTTCAAAATCTAGTTTCAGATTTTCATCAAATTCGATGAAAATCACTGAACACTAAGAGCACGATGAGTTTTGGTTGTTTTGACAAAAACATTTTGGAACTTTTCTATGCAAGATGTTCAGTAGTGTCACATATCCCGAACTGCGGAGAGGCGCCCACGTGCTCTATAGATGATGTGGTCATATCCCGCAGAAAATGCACGCTCACCCTCAGAGACGATCTCGTCTTCAAAATTCACGAAAGATGATACTGTCGAAAGTTCGATAAAATGTAAAAACTAAATATAAATTTGAAAGGAATATTCAAAAATGTTCCTTTAATCTAAACGGAGGAAAACGGGCGATCAAATCTGTTTGTAAGAAGCAAGGCGTAGAATACTACTTTACAGAGGTGACAAAAATTTTTGAATAAAACATCGAAGACTACATACTTATCCTTCTAAAGATTAGAAGGTTTTTCCTGTTTGAAAAACCAAACTCTGAACTAGGAAAAACCATGAAGATTCAAATTCTTCAAGCTGAAAAGTCGAGTGACAAGCCTTGTCTGGCAATATTCAGTTTCAATAAAATTCTAGTTTTGAATGGACAGCAATGCTCTTTGGCGAAACAGTCATTTTTAAATCATATTTTGCTTGATGCAATACCATTGTGAGCAGCTTTGCAATCAATAATTCAATAGATATTTTCGGTGCTATATTTTTCATTATTTAGTCTTTGGAATGGCGCTTATAGGAGACTTATTATAAAAAGATTAATTTTTACTTGCTTTTGCAATAGATTTTTGAAGAGGATTTTGTTTAAACTACTTTTCACTTACGTTAGGATACTAAAATTTAATCAGTATAGTTTTCTTGATGCTTCAGACCTAGCTCTTTCAAAAAAAGGAATAAAACTTTTAGTCTTTAACTTTTGTCTAAGAGATGTTGAAGCGCTTATTTGAAATTCAGTTTCATATGCCACTTTTTAATTTTTTAAGAAAAAAGTAGTACTTCGTCAAAGCAATTGAACACGTCATATAATATGAGATTTCTAGAATTTTTAGGACGCAAAATGGAATTGCAAGTATGTCTATAATCTCCTGACTACTGTAAATAATATAAGCAAAGCAACAACTTTATTGTCTCATGAGCAAAATTTGATAAAACTACTAGATAAAAGATGCTCTTAAAGCATATTTTCTCCAGCTGAGTAGTAGGTCGGTGTACTTGTGAATTAGAGCGAGTCTCATCTTTCCCCATCCTACACCCTCGAGCATGTTTCATTTTGTATAATAAACCTTTCTATACTACTTATAAACATATTCCTAGAATCGTCTTTATAGGGAAAAAGCGTCGATGTAAACCTACCACGACCTCCAATAGAATGCAGAATGTATGCATGCAATGCAACTATAATCTATGATTTACCTATATTGATTCAATTTTTAGCATTCATCGGGTTTATTGCGCAAAAAAATACCTAAAATTCCGCACTACGTGTATTCATATATACCACCAGACAGATTGTTCCTATAAGAAACAACAAGACTACCTCATCACGATACATAATTCAATGGTCTATGTGTGTAAATCCTTTCCATGAAGCCGCTTGTTCTTTTCTCGAGACATCACACCTACATGAATGGATGTAGAATGTCATGGGCAATGTATCGAAAAGCGCATGATCAATACTAGAAAGCGCAAATAGTAGACAAAACGGCTCAAAAACCTATCAATTACCATGATAATTCAATTACAGAAATGTTCACTTCGTTTGTCAAGAAAGAATGAGATGTTTAATCGAGAGTTCTTGAAATCCTATACCAAACAAATGGAGAGTCGTCGTAATAGGTTTATCAAAGTGAGTCATTGATGTTTCAGATACCTGAACAGGTTTCCACATTTTTTCATGTTGAATTTTCATTTTCTGAGAGAGAATATAGTATTTATTGAATAGCTTATGTATTTCTGCATCGATTGATCTAATTTTCATGCCTCAGCAAACGAATGGAAGGACGGTGTAAAGGATTTTCGAGATCGCCCTACAGTATTTTGCAGAATGTCACTGAGTGTTCATGCTGTCTACTCACTGCAGATCGTTTGTTGACAAAGAATGATCCGTCCACTACATAATGCATTACATGCTACATCGATTGATGTATGATTGGTGCTCCCGGAAACATTCATGGTGATGGAACTGCTGAGAGGATGCGTATTGTCCTGAGAGAAATAGTAGTATTGATTTTTTTTCTTGATACTTCGTCTCTTAGAAGTATCTGTCAAAAGATTAGTCTCTATAATATGTTTATGTAGATTCTTTATGGGTCACAATGGGTAATAGGCATTGATAAAAAGTATAGTTGAAAAGACTGAAAATCGCGGAAGTCGATGTAAACATCTAGATGCGATTTAGGTCGAGTGCTTTCATCGGTTCGCATAAGTTCACCAATAGAATAGCCATTATAATCATGACGATGGATTGTTCTGTGGTCGCTTCACATCAATAGAAAAGTACAGTGAAATGTACTCTTCAAAATAATTATCAATTGATCCATCTAGTTTGTTAAGTAAGAAATTTATAGGTTTAGAAACATCTGTTGATTTTAGAAGTAGATTAACGAAGAATATTTGAAACGTTAAAAACTAATCAGTGCAGTAATTGTGACTCAAGCAATTAAGTTACAATGAAAAAGTATACTGAAATTCTTTCACAATTAATTAGATATCTAACACATTAACTAAATAGAATAGATTTGTGTATAACTTATGTCTGTGAAAGAAAAAATCCTATCTGATCAAGGGCATCACAAATGAAAAATCACTATTCTTTATAAGATAAATTCACCAGTAATGTACGTTATTAATCAGCTAGGGTACTTTTCTTTCAAAGATATAGCTTATGCACTAAACTGGCTCTATTTAGTCAATATGTTAGATGTTCAATTAGTTGCGAAAGAATTTCAACTTACATTCACATTACAAACTTAATTGCTTGGCTCACAATTAGTCCGCTAATTACTGTTGAACGTTTCAAATATTCTTAGTTAATTTGCTTTGAAAAGTAGTAGAACTTTCTAGGTCTATAACTTTTTCACTTAACAAACTACATGGATCAATTTATAATAATTTTGAAGCGCATGTTTTATTGTACTTTTTTTCTGCAAATACAATTTTACGAATATACTTATTAGTACAAAAATGTTTACTATAAAAAATGCAACAGAACTTCTAGTCCGTCCTATATTTATATATACACAGGATGGCCCATAAATAACTAGCCATTAAAAAGATCGAATATTTACACTCTGACTTAATCAAATGGGCTAAAATTTCAATAAAGAAATTTAATTTGTTGTGACTTAACAAAAACACTTGCAGAGCAATTTATAAATAATTTTGAGTTCTAATCATAGAAGATGACAATAAAATATCGAAACAAACTTTATCAATGACATGAAATCAGTGTGCATAGATACAACTTTTAGAACTAGTTAACTTAAAGGGCTAAATACTCCAATAAAATCTTGTAGAAATAAATTACAAACTTTCTGGCAAAAATAGAATCCACCCATACGTTTGACTGCGGTCGACGCGACGCAGTTACGCGTAGCTGCGTCGCAGTCTATCGCAGTCAAGCACGTGGATTTTTTTCTGCGATCAATGCGCCGCAGTTACGCGCAACTGCTACGCAAAATTGGCTCTACACGTAACTGTGACGCAGTTGTTAAAAAAGTGGCGACATGGGCAGTGCTTGAATATTCAAAATATCATAATCGTTGAGCTTTAAATCAACCAATAGTTCTAAAAATTGTCTGTATGTGCATTAGTCTTATGTCATTGATAAAGTTTGTTTTGATGTTTTCTAGTCATCGTCTATGACTAGAACTCAAAATTAATTATAAATAGCTGCAAATGCATTTTCCTATTTCACAACATGTTAAATTTCCTTAGTGAAATTTTAGCCCATTTGATTGAGTCAGAGTGGAGATATTCGATCCTTTTATCGGCTAGTTATTTATGAATCATCATATATATATATCATTATGCTCTCTTTATGATATTTTCATGTCCGCATCTTTTCTCTTGATTTTCTTTTTTTTCACAATTATTGAACTTTAGTTATATGCTAGTTTACTTCGATTATTCAATCATGGCATAAAAAACACAATTAATAAATCCTCTTTTAGCTAATAAGCTCAAGACGAAATTTTTTATGCGATTGATTGTCACTGCGAATAAAATTCCTTCTAAATGTTTATTCCTTAAGACAGATTTATGTTTGGTCGTTTTTCTTAAGGAAACAATTAATGTGTAGTCTAATGTCACGATAGCACTCATGCGTTGCTCTGGTTTCGCACTTACCAGTACAGTGCCATTCGCCTGGTTGTAACTTTTTGACAGTGAATATTTCATTTTTTACTGTTTCAGGCAGTTCATCAAAATCTCCCGGAAACTCTTT